ACAATTGTCATAATCGTTATTTTATAAGTTTTTTGAATTTTTGTTAAAATAAGTATTGATAACATGTTTAAATAAAATTTAGTGAAGATGTACCATAGAAAATTTATATTGTCATAATCGTTATTTTTAAAGTTTTTTGAATTTTTTTGACGAAAATATGTTAAAATAAGCATTAATAAGATGTTTAAATATAAATTTAGTGAAGACAATGAAAAGTGACAATTGTCATAATCGTTATTTTTAAAATTTTTTGAATTTTTTTGACGAAAATATGTTAAAATAAGTATTAATAACATGTGTAAATATAAATTTAGTGAAGATGTACCATAGAAAAGTGACAAGAATTTTTTTGACGAAAATATGTTAAAATAAGTATTAATAACATGTGTAAATATAAATTTAGTGAAGATGTACCAATGAAAAGTGACATTTGTCATAATCGTTATTTTTAAAGTTTTTTGAAGAAAATATGTTAAAATAAGTATTAAAAACATGTTTAAATAAAAATTTAGTGAAGATGTACCATAGAAAAGTGACAATTGTCATAATCGTTATTTTATAAGTTTTTTGAATTTTTTTGAAGAAAATATGTTAAAATAAGTATTAATAACATGTTTAAATAAAAATTTAGTGAAGATGTACCATAGAAAAGTGACAATTGTCATAATCGTTATTTTATAAGTTTTTAGAATTTTTTGAAGAAAATATGTTAAAATAAGAATTGATAACATGTTTAAATAAAATTAAGTGAAGATGTACCATAGAAAATTGACATTGTCATAATGGTTATTTTTAAAGTTTTTTGAATTTTCTTGACGAAAATATGTTAAAATAAGTATTAATAACATGTGTAAATATAAATTTAGTGAAGACAATGAAAAGTGACAATTGTCATAATCGTTATTTTTAAAGATTTTTGAATTTTTTTGAAGAAAATATGTTAAAATAAGTATTAATAACATGTCTAAATATAAATTTAGTGAAGATGTACCAATGAAAAGTGACAATTGTCATAATCGTTATTCTTAAAGTTTTTTGAATTTTTTTGACGAAAATATTTTAAAATAAGTATTAATAACATGCTTAAATAAAAATTTAGTGAAGATGTACTCTAGATAAGCGACAATTGTCATAATCCTTATTTTTAAAGTTTTTTTAATTTTTTTGACGAAAATATGTTAAAATAAGTAATAATAACATGTTTAAATAAAAATTTAGTGAAGATGTACCATAGAAAAGTGACAATTGTCATAATCGTTATTTTTAAAATTTCTTTGATGTAAATGGGTAAAAATATAGATTGTAAAATTAAAATTGCCTGAGTATGTGCCATAGAAAAAACATATGGTAATAATAGATTCTTCCCCAAAAACAGGAGCAAATTGGCATTTTATTACATCCGTTAATCGGGTCAGAAATTAATATGCAAAATTTATATCATAATATCTAATCCTAAGTTAGAAATTATTATTTTTTTACCAATTTTCACCAGACAATCTTGTTTAAAATTTGGGTAAACTTTTTTTTCTATTTTAAAATCAATATCGATGCAAGTTAACTATTTTCGTCAAAAAAAATCAAAAAACTTTAAAAATAACGATTATGACAATTGTCGCTTATCTAGAGTACATCTTCACTAAATTTTTATTTAAACATGTTATTAATACTTATTTTAATAAATTTTCGTCAAAAAAATTCAAAAAACTTTAAAATTAACGATTATGACAATTGTCACTTTTCATTGGTACATCTTCACTAAATTTATATTTACACATGTTATTAATACTTATTTTAACATACTTTCTTCAAAAAAATTCAAAAAACTTATAAAATAACGATTATGACAATTGTCACATTAAAATATTATCCTTAAAAAGATCATATAAAATAACATCAAAAAAGTTTCATAAAATCCACCTCATTTAATAATAAATAGATAATCCTAAAAGATTGTTTATTTATCTAATAAAATTTACAATATAATTCCTCAATAAAAGATGTATTTACAAAGTAGATTGTGAAAATCACTTATAAATTATATTAAAAAGAATATTACATTTTTACAATATAGCAGCATATTACTTTTTTTATTAAAAAAACATCAAATAAATAAATTTATTTTCATTTCAAAATATAATAATATAAATAAAAAATATTAAATCATATCATGTTTATTTGTTGATAATAATTAATATTTACATTAAATATAAATAAAATAAATTATTTTACTAAAATAAATAAATAATAATTAATGCTAAAGCATCGATGCAGTTTTGACTAATTAATTTTAGCCGATTTTTAGGCTTAGCCAATTTTTAGGTTTAACCGATTTTTAGGCTTAGCCTAATTAGGTTTAGCCGATTTTTAAGCTTAGCCTAATTAGGCAGCCGATTTTTCCACCTAAAATCTCGGCTAAGCCGTTTTTTAGTCGGCTAAAATTAGCCGATTACGCAACACTACTTATATACATATATTTTCTTAAATATTAATAAATTTAGAAAAATTTTAAAACACTATTTTATTAGACTGGATTGGAAAAAATTTAGTAATATCAGCTGATAAACGATATTTTAAAAAAAATTAAAAATGTTGTCTCTGATTATATTTCTAAACTAATATATATATACTATACATTGAAAGATATTACTTGAATAATGTGGATATATTGAATAATATTACAATTATTACCTGTGCTAATATTATTGGCATCAATTATATCATAGGTGTAGCTAGCATTTTGCTTGGGAGTCAATATTAGGTAGGGTTTTCCTCCATACACTTTGCTAGAGGCCCATTTATACGCTTTTGGAAGGGTTACATTTTTAAAAATAATTTTCCCACTTTTTTTATTAAAATGCCTTTTGGAAATTTTAAATTATAGCCATTATTTAAATGAACTTTTACTTCTTTTCTTTTAATTTGTAGCGTATAGTTACATAATATATACATCTTAGGATAAAGGGAGTGTATGGGCAAATTATTTTATTGGCTTAAAATGATATTTATTCAAATTTCTAAATGGGCTAGGATGCCCCCACCCCTTGACTGCATATGGATCACACCTACAAAAATATGAATATTCATATTTGTACTAGCTTATATTTATATTTATACAAATTAAATAATTCCTTATTCTTTAAAATATGGAATTACTATGGTATCGAATATTCAACGATTTATAAAAATGAAAATATGGATTAATAGAATTTAAAAACTAAAAATTTCCACAAGGAATATATTAAATACTTATGAATAATTTTGAATATTTATGAATAATGAAACATTATCCATAGATTTTTGAATCAAATAATTATGCTTTATGTTTAAGAAAAAAATTATTTTTATGATAAGGGTACCAAAAAAGTATTACCAATTGACTGCGATTAGAGACATGCAAATCCCGGGCCGTAAAAAATTTTGCACAAATTATCTGACTCGAAAAGTCAAGTCCAACTCAGCCCGTTTAATTTTACGAAAGGTGTACCCATAACAGATTTTTTATGAATTTTGGCCATCATTTTGAATTTCTAGGGTAGTGCCGATCCACAATTTTTTACCGAACCGGTATTACTATTTTGAACTAATGTCATAAAAATATCAATATTTTCTATTTTAAATAAATCCAACTAAGTTTCACGAATGGGTAACTGTATTTTGTTTTTTTTATTCTCCATAATCTCATTTAAAATATTTGCGATGTTAATGGGAAAATATAGTATTGTTAAACAGATCCATTTCCGATTTTTAAAAATGGCTAGATCAAGATTTTAGCCACAATATTATTATTTAAGCTTATAAATTTTGCCAATAGAAGCCCAAACCTTTCTGCCATCTGTGGGCCAAATCAATAAACTTGAGTAATTTAATTTTTTCGAAAATCTTGATTGAACTGTTTTTTAAATTGTCTAAATCAACAACATTAGCTGAATGTGATTCGTTAGATATTTTAAAATCCTTTTCTTGCCTCAAATAATATATCAAAAAATAGGTATAATTTTTTTAAACATTACATCAAATAAATTGTATTTTAGTTCCCTTCATTAATTATTATTATAAATTATTTATAATATAAAAAAATGTATATTACAATCATAAAATAACATTAAAAAAATATCAGATCGGTTTTTTATAAAATATCGGCCCTATCTGATATTTTTTGAAAATGCTAAATATCGGTGTCTATCCGATATTTAATATCGGCACAGTCCTATAACTTCTATATTTAATTTTTTGCAATGTTAATTATGGTTCTTATATCTCGCCTTATGACGATAGATTTTTCCTTACACAATTTACATTATTAATCAATTGTGTTTGATATCTATATTGTGTATGTGTAGTGTATATTTGTAATTAGATCGTATCATAAATAACTTGTTTAATTTTGTGATTTACTATATTATCTATAGATTTAATATCTATATTGTGTATGTGTAGTGTATATTTGTAATTAGATCGTATCATAAATAACTTGTTTAATTTTGTGATTTACTATATTATCTATAGATTTAATATTTTAGTTAGACAAATAAAATCAAACAAATAAACATTGTAATTTATTTTCAAATAGTTTTAATCAAAATATTAAGCTTGAAATACAAAAAAATTTAATATCCGATATGATCTATTAAAATTTTACAAAAAAAAAGAGATTTCCAAAACTCTGATTTTTCATATATAAATTGTGTGACCACAAAATTTTATATATACTAATTACCCGGCCTGACACATTATAATTTTTTTTAATTTTTGGCCCAGCCTGCAGATCAGGCTTTTGGACGACTAACTTTTGCAGATCTCTAACTACGATACACAAACATTTTTAAATACTGTTTGATACAAAGTAAACTTGTGACTTGTTTCGAGGAATTTGAATATAGGGTTGTACATTTTATTTCATTTTCATATTTGTTATTCAAGCATTATATACTTTTTTAAAGTAAGTATTGGAGTATTGGTGCATATCTTAATTATTTTATTATATTAAACAATAACATTAGGCAAAAGCAACTTAACTAATCAAAAAAGGGGTACATATTATGGTGAAATTCAGGAATGGCCTCAAACAAAAAAATGTGTATTAGGATCATACTTGCTATATAAGGCATTTCAAATTTATATATGTGAAGGGGAAACTCAAATGAAACCTCAAGACCTATAAAATTTTAGTTATTTATACAATAATATACATATTTTTAATATTTAATGCAATTTTATAATCATATTTGTATATCTTTGAGATCTATTTATATAAATTTTGACCCAAATCAAACTTTAAGATTAATATATATTTTTTAATATGATATACAAAAACTAAATACAGCTTTCTACATTACATATAAAAATATCTACAGACAATTTTAGATAATAGGAATGATAATATTTTTTTTTATAATATATAATTTTTTAATCTCATAATTACTATTTTTTATCCTGTATTGTCAAAGTATTAATAAATTTAACTATGACTTTTTTAAAATTAATATTTATTTTTTGTAAACGATGATTCAAAATTTATTTTAAATGAATTTAATGAATTTTTATAGTGTGATCAATTTCATAATAAAATTTGGAATGTGATTTTTAATTATTCGGAAAAAGTTTTTTGTGATTATAAATATCACAGTAGTTAGGGATCAAACTAAGGGTAATTTTTTTTGGTTAATAAAAAGTAGCTCCATTTCTGGGGAAAATAGCGAAATTGAAAAACTAAAGCAAAAAAATTATTTTCTTGTCAATTTTCAAATTAGAGTTTATTCTTAAAAAATAATTTTTCCCACTCCATTTTTATAAACAAAGGTTTGATTTTTCCAAATACACATTTACCCCCCCCCCCATGTCTCGGGAGGCCATTTTTATCAGACACCTGCAGCCTAGCTTGGGTACACGGTTCGGACAGTATTTTAATATTTTTAGAATTTTTTTATCTAAAAATTATTTTCTTGGATAGTTTGGCTCCTATTTTATTTTGATATATTTTGTTCTGCCCGTTTAGCCATAAAAATATTTCAAATTCACCCACTCATTGTTTAAATTTTTTTTTTAGCCCGCTCAATATTCAAAATATTTCAGCCTGGCCGCTCATGCACCCCTGTAGAATGAGCGGTCTTAATACCCGCCCATTGCAGACTTCTAATAGGGATCTATCCTCCAGCTTTTCATGTTACAGTGAACATCAGGTAATCAGTACAAAAGAATACTCTAAATGATAATTATACGGAGGTACTCCCCATATTTTTATTTTTCCCTAACTCCTTAAGATGAGTACCATCTTATAGTGATCAACTTTTTAAGAATGAATATCTTGTCACATTAACCTCGATATCGCTTAAGCGATACGTAATTCATTGTTAGACGATACCATTAGTTGTATAATTTAACATTGTTAGAACGAATGTTCAACTATTGGATGAATTATGTTTAAAATTAAACAAGTTTCTAAAGTAAGGAGTATGATTAAAGGTTAGAGGAATATGGGTCAGAATTTTTAAGAATAGGTAGATATGGGCTAAGGTTTAGATTAGGTTTTAATAAAATTTAATCCTTTTTATTAATAACTTGACAGGCCATGTGATTATAAATGGACAAATAGATATAAATAAATCAGCTGTTGTAACGCCAATTTTTTTGAACTGGACCTTAATCATAATTTAGGCTTTGCTTGAGCCATATCGCTAAAGAAGACTTAACTCTAAAATACGCCATTCATTTTCCATGAAATTCTATGGGTGCTGTTACTGAACGTTAATAAAAGGCGTTTTATAATCAGAATTGTTTGATAATCTAATTATTTTTATCTTTTTTTATGAGGATAAAATATCTGGTAGGACGAAATTTGCTAAAATTTATATAAAATATTGACAAGGAATTATAAAATTTAATATCTAATTTGCTGCCTACAACAAGAAAGTTTGTATGTCAAAATAGATGTTAAAATATAAAGAAAGGAAAAAGCGAAGTTAATGCAAGAATTCACGAAAATTAATGTTAAATGTGAATATTAAATTCTTGAAATAAAAATAATAGTAAAAAAGTTTTTTTTTTCTGTCAAGAAAGTGAAAAAAATATTTAAAATAAAGTGCCTTAAATACAGATATAAATATCTTTATGAATGCCAAAAAGATACAAAAGGATCTTATATCTAAAATACAGTAATGGGCTACCGCATAACTGATAACAAATATTAAATTTCGGCCTGACGATTTATTTTTCAAAATTTTGGACCAAGCAACTACTCTTTATAGTGTTCTAGAGCTGTATACTGTGGCATAACGGCATTGTATGGATTTTGAAACTGTTATTACAGAAAACTTCTATATCATGATCTTTTTTTCAGAAGTCTTCTATTTTATGCTAAGTTATGTTTTTACTAAATTTCATAAATTTTTATTGAATGTTTTTTAGATGAACATTTTCTCGAGGCAATTTTTTCATAAATTTTTACATGTTTTAATATTTTCTTCAGCTCATTTTTAAGCAATTTATAATTTTAACTTATTTTTTCCTCCCTTTTGTCTATTTTTTTAAATGGCATTTTGTTTTTTTTATTCTTCTACCCTTGTATCTGTTCAGCCATGAGATTTCCCAAAAAAGATTCACTTTTACCTATAATTACAATTATTCTGCCAACACGTTAAATAGTCTCCCCCAAGAAAATTTGTTTTTTTAAAAGGCGATTTGTCTAGGGCCGGCTCCTAAAATAATCAAATTCTTAAACTCCGGGCCAATTCTAAAAATAAAAAATCAGAACCAGGCTAAAAAATAGAATTTAAAATTGGAGCTTGGAAAAGAGATTTGACTTCTGCTTTTCTCTTAAAAATATAATAGGTCTCAGTTTAAAAAATTATCAAATGATAAAAAAATATATTATAAAATAAACAATGTAATTATAATGGAAAAAAATATTTACAAAATTCATTTAACAAAAATATTTTTTTGTTGTCAAATAATTTTTTTTTTAACTAAATGGAATTTCTTTTCTAAATGAACTCTTATGATTGCCTTTTTAGAAAGAATGATGGGTGACAAGGGCAAATTTTAGGTCATACATATTACATATAATATATTTTGTTATTCTCGACTTAATCATATTTCATCTTTAATTTATAAATAGTTTTATTATGTATCAAAACATTATTCTAACTCCTAAGGCCCCGTATAAGCCCTATCAACTTTTAATTAATACAATACATAACACTATAAGTATTTACAAACGTATATTTAAGGGAAGATGAATATTTATATACTTAGATGCGAAATTAAAAAATAAATATGAATTATAAATTTCTGAGACTAAAATAAACGAATAAAATTTTTAAAATAAAATATTGCATTAGACAAAATAAGTTTCATTATTCTTAATATAAAGGATGATCTCCATCAAATTCCCTTTTTTGAATATGTAAGTTTATAACAATTTATTAAATGTTATACCTTGAGTAGTGATATCGCCAAGGTGCCTTTTAAGTTTAATTTGAAACATGTTTTTAAAAATGAAACAAAAAATTGACTTTTCAGTAGCCCTATGCATTTGGCAAAGCAATTAGATATATCAGTGACCGTTAATGATCCGTATGTTAAAGTTGTGGTTGAATGAAAATGTTAATTAAAAAATGAAAGATATAAAATTCAAATTTTTTTAGATTTAAATCTGCTACTGAAAGCGTTGTAACTTTCGACATTATCCATAATTTTAATTGAGATAAAGTTATCCATAAAATTATAAGTACTTTGTCATTTTTAATTTTAATAATATTATTTTGTTTATCCCTATTCGTTCTATAATCGTTTTAAATTTCAAATTACCTTATTACTTCATTTCTTAAAGAATTTTTGTGGGTACCTTGTGAGCGATACTCGAGAAAATTTGAGTCTATGCAGTTGTTACGGGAACCAAAAATATAATTATTTTTGCGTAATACTAAAATTGGCCTGAAAATGGCTCGTTATAACCTCATAAAAATGATACCAAGATTCCGCTCTGATAAAATCATATTTTAAAGTATTTAAGATAGATATATCACGAGCAAATTGATAATCTTTAAAAAGAATTTTCTATCATTCGTTTTTGGATGGTATAAAAACATATTTACTTTTACAGTATAAATTTATTTTAAAATATTAAATGTTCAACATTTAATATTTTAAACATTTAAAACTTTAATAAATTTCCAATATGAATATAAAATATCAAGTTAAATAAAATAAAATTTTAAACGAAAGTTATTTTAAGAAAAGCATAATTGGGTTCTTAAAATGGAATAATAGTTTAATTGAAAAATGTTTATTTGTATGTTTCGCCTAAGGAATAGGAATTCCCTAGTTCAAACATTTGTTATTTAATTTTTTGAGCTAAAATTTTTTTTTAAACTAAAGGTGAGAACAAACGAACCGTTGGTAGAAGTTGTAATTTGTTAGAATAGTAATTTTCTGATATATTACAAAAATTGTAAATATTTTGTCCAAAATAATTAAAAATTATAGCTACTATATTAATTATATTGGTAAAAATAAGAGTTATAAAAGAAACCAGGTCTCGCTACAACCCCTGCCTTTGCTAAAAAATTATATTATTGTGCACATACGTAACCGGAGTTAGATATGTTAGCAAATGTTAATAAAATGTATGTTTTAAAAAAAAAAATTATCGAATGATTTTTGGGTGATAGTAACCAACCTCAAGCATATTTATTAAGTCATAAATTTTCTATTATATATTGAATTATAATATATAAATATCATAATTTTGTATATTTTATAAAATTAGATAATCAGTTATTCTAATTGCCATTAAAGAGATATATTCCTAAACGTAAAGCAAAAAAAATTCAGAGAACTTTTTTTATAAAATATTTAGTTTTATGACAAAAAATTTTGTTTTTATTTGAAAGATAAAATGATTATAGCTTTTTCCTAACAAGTCAATGAAATAGTGTTTTTCGTAATTTTTATTTATTTCCAAACAACACCATTGTTTAATATATGCAGTTGATTACGAAATAATTTATCAGAAGATTATATTTAATAAAAAGGAATTTGTCTCATATTTCTTAATTTTCCTGAAAAAATTTTAATCAAATTTGTTATTAAATTATTACTATAGAAAAATTTTAATCAAGACATTTAAAAAAATATTCACTTTGTCAACGAAAAAAAAACAACATTTTGATATTTTAAAAAATCTTAAAATGGTAAAAATATATTGCTTCTTGAATCATGGTGTATTTGGACTGAGAAGCAATAAAATTTTCGAGTTTTATTTAATGCATAAAATATGAAATATCGCGTTAAGTTATCTCTAAATATTATAACTCGAAAATTTTATTTGATTCTTATTGTAATTGTAAAAAAAAAATTGAATATAACATATTTTAAAAGAAAAGGTTGGGATATCAGCTTTTTCAACAAGAAAAGAATTTAAAATTTTTTAACGAGTCCCTTACAATCAGGGTTGCCATGTCTCCCCCCATCAGTGGGAGTCTCCCACAATTTTTTA